TCAACCAGAGGAGCAGAGCAGGGCACAAAGGAGCAGGAGCCCCGGCTCTGCCGGCATGCGAGGGTGTCAGCGGTTTCCTGGCTGTAAGCTGCAAAAAAATAGGGAAAATTCATGTTTATTTTCAGTCCTGGAAGAGGACTTGAGACTGGAGGCATGAGATTTACCTGGCCCTGTGTTAAGGTTTTGTCATCATATTAGATTCTGTTCCTAATTTGAAAGGCATCACAGCTTTATTCTAAATCAGGTCTATAACATTTCAACCACTTTGTTGCAGTGGTTCTCGAATCCTTTCTCTTAATCACATATTGTTTGAGGATTACATATTTTTGATGTCACTCAGCTGATTTTAAAGCTACCATTAGGCTTTGTTTTCCCTCATTTCTTAAATTAAAAAGGCCTGTAGTGTTTTACACATATAATCTTTATGAAGAGATAGAAAATAACTGGTGGCCCTTTCCCCAGAAATCCTACTGGAATTTTACCAGTCCTGGTACATCCCTGGGGTCACAGGGAGTTTTGATACAAATAATACATTTTTGTGGTGCATGAAGTAGGAAAAGCCCAAGAAAGCAATGCCAGAACATGTAGTACAGATTTTGTCTCAATGGTTCTACATTTTTTTTTTTGAGTAGACAAACTTTTGATGGTCTAAGAAAGCTGGTACAAATTTGAGACTACTGCAAATCAAATTGAGATAACTTCAGATGCTTCAAAGACACCCAAATAACCTGGAATGATACATGGGCTCCAAATCCACTTAATGCACATGGCCAATACAGAGTTCAGGCAAAAACCAACAGTCAGCATAACATTTTTCCCAAAAAGAGATGAAGTGTCCTAATCTAAAATACACAGTCAAGGACATGTGGGTGAGAATGTGAGAAGAGAAAGCTCTCATGTTGCTGGGTTACATCTTCAGTATTATTCTAAGAATTGCCTCAATAAAATCTTCAGGGAATTGTTCATGTTGGAAAAGGGTCCTTGGATCCTCCATGAGCAGCGAGTCCAACATCCCCCAGCACTGCCAAGGCCACCACTGCCCCATGTCCCCAGCTGCCACATCCACATGGATTTTAAATCCCTCCAGGGATGGGGACTCCACCACTGCCCTGGGCAGCTATGCCAGGGTTGGAGAGCAGTTCTGGTGAACAAATGTTTACAAATATCCAATCTAAACCTCCCCAGGTACAACTTGATGTAATTTTATCTTATCCTGTCCCTGTTCCCTGAGAGCAGAGCCCGACCCCCTTGGCTATCCCCTCCTGTCAGGAGTTGTGCAGAGCCACAAGGTCCCCCCTGAGCCTCCTTTTCTCCAGGCTGAGCCCCTTTCCAGCTCCCTCAGCCCCTCCTGGTGCTCCAGCCCCTTCCCCAGCTCCGTTCCCTTCCCTGGACATGCTCCAGCCCCTCAATGTCTCTCTTGTCAGGAGGGTCTCAGAGCTGTCCCCAGCACTGGAGGTGTCCCAGCAGTGCCAGCCCAGGGGACAGCACTGCCCTGGCCCTGCTGCCACCCCAGAGATGGGACAACCCAGGTGCCACCGGCCTCTTGCCCACCTGGGCACACCTGGCTCATGTCCAGCTGCTGTCAGCAGCACTTGCAGGGTCTTTTCCACCCCAGCCTGGAGCTGCAGGGATTGATGTGAACAGCACTTGACCTTCTTGAACCTCACACAATTTGCCTCATCCCATGGATCCAGCCTGTCCAGATCCCTCTGCAGAGGTTTCCTGCCCTCCAGCATATCAACACTCCTGCCTAATTTGGTGTAATCTGCAAATTTGCTGAGGTTACCCTCCCTCCCCTCATCTGGATCATTCATTAAGATATCAAACAGGACCAGTGCCAGTACTGAGCCCTGGGGAGCACCACTGGTGACAGCCTCAGTTGGACTTAACTCCATTCCCCACACATCTCTGGGCCTGGCCATCCTGACAGTTTTTAACCCAGTGCACCCATCCAAGCCATGAGCAGCCAGTTTCTCCAGGAAAACTCTGTGGGAAATGGTGTCAAGGATTTACCAAAATCCAGCTAGATACCTAATCCACTGAATGGGACACCTTGTCATAGAGGAGATCAAGTTGGTCAAGCAGGATCAGCTTTTCATGAACCAACACTGGCTGTGCCTGATCCCCTGGGTGTTCTGTACATGCCACATGAAGGTACCCAAGATGAGCTGCTCCAAAACCTCTTCTAGCCCCAAAGGTCATTACAGGACCATCCTTTTTTTTCTCATCTTGTCATCATATGCTAGAAAGAAGCCATCAGTATGACTATCAAGAACCTTGAATTGATAGCTTGAAAATTAGGACAATGACCAGGGAAGGGGAATTCTAATAGGAAAGTCATGGATTCCAGGAGCAGAGAAGTAATCCCTCAGCACTGAGATCTAATGAACTTCTCTGCATCTTCACCTTTTGAGCCTCCATCTCATCTCTTTTCAGCCTTACCTGGAGCAGCCTGGAAGAGGAAGAAGAGAACAGCGACGAGGAAGAAAAGGATCCTCATGACTGCAGCTGGCAGCAAGGCAGCTTTGGCAGGGATGGAGACAACACCAGTGTGAACAGAAGCTGTCTGAGACCGAGCACAGGTGGTGCCTCTGCATATAAAGGCTCTGGGACAGAACAAGGTGGGTGGAGGAGTGGCTGCCTGGAGAACAGAGAGTTCATTGCCCTGTTCCCATGGAGATTGGTGAGGTAGGGAGATGTTGCAACCTCCCACGTTAGAAGATGCCCGACCTGAGCCATGGCCACGTCTTGCTGGCTGACCCGAGCAGCCAAACCACCCCATGCCAGCTGGTGGGCTGCACCCAGGGAGGGCATGGGATTGGAGCAGGAGGGAGGTGGGTTCCTGGGATCTGCAGGGCTGCAAACCATGCAGAACTGATGGTGCCCTGTGGCTCTTGGCCATGGTCTTGTGCCAGCTTGTCCTCCCCCTCAGCCACCAGCCAAGGTGAGCAAAGGAGAAAACTCCTCCTTGGAGACAAGACCATGGGGTGACAGGGCAAGGCGTAATGGCTTCAAGCGGAAAGAGCAGGTTTAGATGAGATACTCAGAAAAATTCCTTCGTGCTGAGGGTGGTGAGAGAGTGGAACAGGTTGTCCAGAAAAGCTGTGGCTGTCCCATCTCCCAGTGTTGAAGGAGAGGTTAGACAGGGCTTGGAGCAACCTGGGATAGTGGAAAATACTCCTACCCAAGCAGGGGCTTGGAAAGGGATTATCTTTAAGGTCCTTTCCAATTCAAACCATTATATGATGATGAAGACAAATGCAGAAAACGATCAGAGATTTAATCCTTGCTTGGGCTGGAGTTGTAGGGCTGCAACAGAAGGAGACAGAGTAGGGCTGAAAGGGTCGTGGATATCCCCCCTCCTGGTTATGAAACTGGCAGTTGCTCCAGTCTGCCACGAGTTTTTCCAGCATGGTTCACAGCTCACACTCTCTGTGTGACTTTATTTATGTTCTTTTATTTGTGACTTTATCCATGGATTTGTACCAAATGTCACAGAAGTCATTAAACAGAAAGGACTGGAAGGGACACTGCTTTGTGTTGTGCCACACTGTCATACGAGACTGATCCTAATTCCCTTCAGCAACCCCTAAGATCTGTCCTGAAAACAATGATATCATAGTCTGAACCGTCTTCCCATATCAAGTCTGCATGGAGTGTCTAAAATTACTCATTCTTGCCCAAATGATCTTGGTTTAATGACATTTTCTCTTGCTGTCAACCACCTTGCTGAGTGTGGTTATGAAGAGACTCACATCTCTCCGAGTTCACATATTCAACATATTGAATCCGGTTCTGTGTGGTGTGTCCACCTCTCTTATCATCTTGTAACTTACTTCTGTATCTGAAAATAAAATCTAATTTTTTTTTCATGCATGTGAAGGTTCAGCCATACCTAAAACGGGCCAGAGGAAGTGCCACCAGAATTCTCTAAAGGTCTCTTAAACCCTTGTACTTGTTGCCAAGAAATGCCACTCCTGTGACATATGGAAACTGCAAGTGAACAGGACAAACCAAAAATCATCAGTGACACAAAGTCACAAGGGTGATTAATTATTTACTGCTTCAGCCAGAGCAGCAAACTGAAACGATGGAGAGCAAGAGCAGGGGTCAGCTCTGACTGCCCACAGAGGGCAGAGAGGTCTGTGCCTGGTGTGCCAGCTGCTGCAAGCTGGGTGGAGGGCATGAAAGGGCTTCAGGTTTTGTTTTTTTTTTTTTAAAACATTAATTCAATATATCAGGGCTAGGAACAAGAAAAACTCTTCTTGCGGATGGATGAGGAGGTTGAGAAGGGGCAACAGGACACAGGTGGCAAAGAAAATGAATTCTTACCCATATTTCATTGAGCCCACATCCTTGAGGAATATGGTGAGGGAATTAACCTTCAGACCCCTGCCAGGAGCTGTGAGAGCAGGGGTGGGCAGTGATGGTTTAGGGAAAGGCACACATTATATTGAGCCACATTATTGAGCCAGAGGCACAGGCTCTAAAATGAGCTGTTGCTGTCATCTCTCCTCATTTATATTAAATCATTTTGTGTCCATGTGTGCCTGGAATTTTATTGAAGGGAGTCATTGGGAACACTGACCATCTCCCTGATTCCTGATTTGTGATCCAGGACATGGACACAACCCCACAACCCAAACCACTCTGAGCACCTGCCCAAAGTTTCAGACAAGCAGCTCATCCATCTGCAACCTCAGCTTCGCTTTCGGAAAGAAAAAGAAGGAAAATAATTGGAGTCCATGATCTTAAAACACAGCTAGCTGTAAGGAAACCATCAAGGGTGAAACTTACTTGTAGAAATAACAGGATTTAATGGAAAAGGGAAAAGTGCTTTTCTACTCCTTGCATAATCCCCCTCCTGCCTGTCCCAGACAGCAAAAGGGGCAGGGATATTTAATTTGGGGAGTGAGGCTGCTGAGCAAACCCTGCTGGGCCATGATGTCACAGATGGTTCAACGCTCTTTGGAACCAAACAACATCAGGGAGAGGGAAGGAAAGGGGGAATGGCTCCAGCTGGCCAGGGCAGCAGAGGAGGGCAGTGGGAGTTGTCTCACATGAGGCCAAGCCCAGGTTCCACTCAGGCTCATGGGGAGTGCAGAGGTGAGATGGACACTCAAGGGACTCTGTAGAAATTGGGCACAAATGGAAGAAAGAGCCTGGAGTGAGGGTGGCTGCTGGGCTGAAATGCCAGACCTTGATGGACATAAGGTCCAGCATTCAGAAACAGGAATGGAGACAATCCCTTTTGGAATAACACCTCTGTGATTTATACACCAGAGATGTGTTTCATTGGGGTAGCAGGGAAATCTGAGGCTCTGTTCTGAATTTATCCAGATTTAATAACAGAGATTTTATTCAAGATGTTGTGGTTTAACCCAAGCTGGAAATTCAGCTTCAGGCAGCTCTTGCTCACTTCTGCCCTGGTGGGATGGGGAGAAAATCAGAGGAGTAAAAGTGAAAAAACTTGTGGGTTGAGATAGTGACAGATTAATAGCGAAAACAAAATCTGTGCAAGCAAAGTTATTTATTCACCACTTCCCATGGGCAGGCAGGTGTGCAACCATCTCCAGGAGAGCAGGAATCCACCACAGGTAACAGTGACTTGGGAAGAAAAACTCCATCACTCCAAGTGTCCCTTCCTTCCTTGTTCTTCCTGCAAGTTTTATTGCTGAGCAAGACCCCACATAGCCTGCAATATCCCTTGGGTCACCTGGGGCCAGCTGTCCTGGCTGTGTCCCCTCCAAAATCCTGGGCACCCCCACCTCTTGTTGGTGGAGTGAGGAGCAGAAAAGGCCTCGACTGAGTCCTGCTCAACCATAACAAAAAACATCCCTGAATTATCAGCACTGTTCCCAGCACAAACACAAACCACCACCCCATACTGGGAAGTAAATAAATTCCATCCCAGCCAAAACCAGCTCACAGAAGGAACTTGAGGGATGTAGAACAAATCATCAGTGTCTGTTTTTTCAGTTGGACATGTCCAGGCTATGGGCAGTGAGATATCCTTGCTACAGTGTGTTCTTTAAATATTGAATTTTGTGACTCCTGTTTAAAACAGGTCTGATGTTTAAAAACCCAGTCTATACATCACCCAAGATCTTGTCTCTGTGGAGGAATAGTTCAGGTCCCATTGTGTTAATAAATTCAGGGGTGTGTGTGTGTATTTTTAATGCAATTATATTATATTATATTATATTATATTATATTATATTATATTATATTATATTATATTATATTATATTAATGTGATAATATATATATTATAAAATTATATATATTATATAATTATATATAGATATAATTTGTAATACTGCTGGTGTTTATTGGTTGCCATACAATTATCCTCTGTGTCAAAGGTTGCCGTAAATTCTTCCCTCTCAGCTTTCACTCCTGTCATCGTAAATGCTTTATTACCATAATCAAAACTGGTTGCTCCTTTAGTCATTCCCTTTCCCAAATCCTTTGGCAATATATGAGACTACACAGACTAATTTAAAAAATACTGCCTCACTCTGAGCCTTGAGTCAAAACCAGAGAGGAAATTACTGTGAGTAACAACAAAGATCACAGGTTTTGGTTTAAGAAAACCTTTATTTTCATGTGTGAATAAAATAATAATATATATATTGCTTCACATCCTCCAAGAGCTGCATGAACCTGATGTGATTGAACCTCCAAACACCCCTGTGAGGTAGGCTGGAATAGGTGGCCAAGGAGCCAAAGTGGCTTGAGTATTAAAAGCAAAAAGGGAGTGACTTCAGCGAGGAAAAACCCGGATCTCCAGAAGCGGTGTGCTAACAGGACATGCCCTCTGGAAGCTTCTTTTAAAGCTCATTTGCAGGAGGCTTTAGCTAGAGGAGGAATCCATGAAAATCAGCTCCTCAAGGCAGTGGAAATGTTGCTGGTCCGAGGGCTCTGATCCAGGAAAGCCTTTTCTTCTTACTCTGCCAAAATCCTGCAAAGATACAAAGGGTCTTGTTATTGTGCTGCAGTGCCACCTCAGCTCACTCTCTAAAAGCCTCAGTACCTCCTAATTACCTTTCAAAATGAACCTACAGGGTGGGTTCAGCCTGCAGGTTTAAAAACCTACAGCTCTGTGTGTGTTGGGTGTCCAGGTCTGCAGATTACCAGTGTATAAGAACTGTGGCCACTGGCAAATGAGTTATATGACCACTTGTAATGACTTTTTTTTTCAGTTTACACCAAAATAAAAATTGGGGATTTAATGTGGTTACTGAACACGCAAGTCTAGTGCAATCTGAAGTGGTCTGGGGTATCTGCTTAACCTCCAGACCATCTCTCTTTTCTGAAAATCAGTGTTTTCCCTTAGAGCTAACTCAGCCAGATACATTGATATGATTTAAATACTCCAATACAGCTCAAATGCCACTAAACATCTCAATGTGTCCTGCTGAATCAAACCCTCCATGTCTAAATTCAAAGATTTGTTTTCAAGCAACCTGAGTTGGGAAAAAATATTTATATTTTACTTTAGAATACTCTGTTGGTTTTAACTTCTACTCTTGTATTGGTCAGTTCAGCTGGAAATCAAACAGCCAATATAAGAACTTTAATCCTGAACACTAGCATCCATCAGTATCAGGTACATTCTTCCAAAAAAGAATATTTCTGTAGGAAAATTACACCTGAAACCAGACTCAAGAGGTCTTGTTCCTTTCCCAGGCTCAGTTTTCTTTTTGTTAAGTCTAGCAGATGTTCTGACAGAAATCTGATGTTTGAGCTCTCCCATCTGCTCCTACCAGTCCATTTGCTATCAGTGGAAATTGCTTCCCAAGGAGGATGAGTGGTCACAGAAAGTGAAGGATCACATCACTCCTTTGCAAAATCATCTAATATCAGATTCCTTCTGTTCCATTTATTTTCCTGAATTCCCAAATGCATCCTTAGCATCTTATTCTCCTGGCAACAAACCTGTCCTATTATTGGAATTACTTGGGTTTCCTGAAACCACTGAGGATTCCCACTTGCTGAATAAATGCATAAAACATTTTGCTAGAACCATCTCATCAGATTTCTTCAATTTCTGGGAACCTTTAAGCCCTGGAAATCCTATAAATAACAGAATCACAGTAAGGAGTTCTGGAAAATTCAGACATCACAGATCTGAGCTCTCCCTTTGTTTTGAGCCAAGGTCTGTCCTGTCACATCAGTGGCTGGGGAATCTGCCTGAACATCGTGGCTGGGATAAATTTTATCATCACACCAGTCCTCTTCATCAAAGGTACAGGAACCTCTCCTAATCTGGTGCTGCATTTGGGGGTGTGAATGTCACTGCAGCTGGCAGGGATCATCTCGTGGCCATTAATGGAACAAAGATATTCTACGAATTTAAGTAGCTGGAGAATATGTTTTATTTTAATTTGAAGAGCATTCCCCAAAAGCATGTTCAAAACCTTAAGGAAAGAAAAAAATCTGCCTATGAGGGAAACTCCAGACATTATTAGAAAGTGGTTTCCAAGGTCAAAAGTTAAATGCACACCCAAGTCCCCACTCACTGACAAATTCACTCCTCTTTGCCCTCCTAAGAGCTGTGCAGTGGTGGGAGGAAGGAGAGATGGGGAGAGGTTAAAAAGCAGAGTTCTGTGAACACTTTTACCTCTTTAAATGTACATTTTCTAGGTAAATTTTTAAATAAAAACAAGAGGGATGATAAAAAGCTTCCTCTGATGGGTATAAATACTGTGAAGTATTTTCCTAATAATTTCTTGAAAAAACTTCTTTTCCCATAAAAATTCAAAACAAAGTGAAAAATACTGAATTCTTGGACATTTTGACTGTTCTGAAACCTTTCTCCCATACACAATTTCCATCCAAATGAATTTTCTCCCTAAACACACATCAGCATCATACATGTGTTCCTCCTCCCTCGGGGCTTTCCCAACAAGGGTTGTCCTGCAAGCCCCTCTGAAGTTTTGCTGATTATTCAGAGAAATAGTGGATAAAACAGGGGACCTTCTGAGGCCCCTGGGATGTTTTGTCACCTACTTGGAGCAGCAGTTGAGCAGCCCCCCGTGGCACGTCCCTGTGGCGGCGAAGGTGGGTGGGCACGCCCCAGCACGGCAGAATCTTCCCTGGCTCCGGCACTCAACAGTGTCAGCAAAAAGAGGGTCTGCAGAACCTGTGGGGAGTGGCAGGAGTTAAAATCTCAGCTTTCTGCCTGAAATGATGAGAGGTAAATGTTCAACAAATGTTCATGTGTTGTCTTTTTTAGCAAGAGGGGCATCCTGAGAGCAGATGCTCCTGATCCCACCACTGCACCGGCCCCGTGGCATCAGATTTTGCCTTTCAGCTGATGGTGGCTTTTCCCTCCCTGTGAACACTCTTCTGCTTACAAACCCTTTTATAGGAGTTTTGCTTCGCACCTGAAGTAGCCTGGAAGAGGAGGAGGAAGACAGCGAAGAGCAGGTAGAGGATCTTCATGGCTGTCAGCTGCTGGTGGATTGTGAGGTCCTGAAAAGCACCTGAAAGACCAATGGTGGATGAAGCTGGCTTGAGCAAGGGCTGGGACAGACATCCAGTATTTATAGGGCCCGTGGGGTTGTGCAAGTGTGACAAGTCAATGAGTAACTGCCATGAACTTTCTGGAGAGGGACTGGACCCCTTATCACATGTGGCAGTGAACGTGTTGCAATCCCCCAAGGGTGAATTTCCACTTCATGTGTCAGTAATATAATCTGACCATCAGCCAAACCTGACTGAGCTGCACTGATTTTCACGGCTTTTGGAAACCTCTTCCCAACACAAGCACCAGGATGGGTCTGGGGGACTTGGAAGTCAGTGACCATTGGAGTGGGGACCCAGCTTTGATCCTGGATTCATCTCTCACTGACAGTTCATGTAACATTTTGTCTCCATTTCCCCATCCCTGTGGCAAGGTGGATGATGTCAAAAGCAGAGGAAAGCATTGGGAAAGACTTGAGGTGATGCAACTGTTCTCTGTCAGTTTTTAAACGGGTCTCAGGACAGCCTCACCCGCTGCAGGGGACTGACACAAAGCTCTCCCCCTCCTTCAGTCCTCACTTGTATCGTAGAATCACAGAATGGTTTGGGTTGGAAGGGACCCGAAAGATCATCTCATTCCAGCACCCCTGCCATGGGCAGGGACACTTCTGCTAGAACAGGTTGCTTCAAGCCCCATTCAGCCTGACATTTCATCCCACATCATTTCCACTGCTCTACCTTCAGCCTTAAGGTGCAAATTCTGACTTCTTTGCATTCAGTTCGTTTGTCCATATTAAAAGCCTCAGGAGTTAAGAGTTCTAACACTCACTAATATATCTATTTTCTTTTAAAGGGAATAAACTCCTTCATATACGTGCACAAGTTTGTGATGCAATGCCAAATATTTCCCTTCTTATTGCCCTAAAGGTTGGGAGAACAAACTGATTCCACCAGAATCACATCTGACATAATGCTTTGAAGGGCAACATCTGGGACTTCACTTCAGAGCATGATCCCCGTGGCTGTAAATTTTATTAAAAGGAGATCAATGCAGGGAAGGTTCTTCTTCCCAAAATCCTGGACTAATAAACAACTTAAACACTGTCACAGCCCAGGTGTTTCTGCAGTTCTTACCTCTGACATTCTGGTTCAGTGGTTTGCTTCCTTATTACCTCATTCCTTATATTTAACTCAGAGTTAATGGCATTTTTGTTCCAAGAATTGTTTGAAGGATGAAAACATTACTGAGGTTTATGTTTAATTTGCACAGTAATGGGCCAGCTTGAGCAGCTGAGAGAGAGGTAACAAGGTGAGTTTATGCAGCAAATAACAGCAAGATAAACACTGATTTCCCTCTTGCACTCATAAAATCTAATTAACCAAGAAATACCAAGCCTTCCTTTTTTTATCCTTCTTTTTTTTTTTTTTTTCTGGTACCCTTGCCTTGAAACTTATTTTTTCTTTTGCCAGCAACTCTCCAGCTTTTCCCATTTCTAATGGAGAAGAAATTTAATTTGTCACCCCTCTCTTTTCTCTTTAGTAGGATACAGAGAGGCAAATGCCTGACCTGCAACACCATCATGACTAAGCCCAAAAATAAACCCCTTTTGTTTTTCTCAAGACCCTTTGAAATGTTAATTCCCCTCACCTGTCTTTCACACTGACAGAACAGTTTGGAATGTTGTGCAAGTGGAAGCACTTGTCCATAAGACATCCAAGTTAGGGAGGAGGGGTGTTTTTCCCAAATAAAATCAGAGTGTGGCACCAGGGAAGGTTGTGACTACTTTTTGTTATTTGAAAAAACTCCACTCACTTCCATGGCTTTACTTTTTCTCTCCTCTGGAAAAGAGTCAATCTATTATTAGAGTTAAATTATTTAAATTTTATATGTATGGATTGCCATAGCACTCAGATTTTGCTGAACAGCCTCATTCCTTGCAGAAGGAGAAGCCCTCTAGGAAACAGGGAAGAAGATTTTTGCAATGAGGGTGGCAAAACACTGGCACAGGCTGCCCAGAGGGGTGGAGGATACCCCTGGAAACAATCAAGGATGGGGCTAGGAAAAATCTGGTCCAGTGGACAGTGTCCCTACCCCTGGCAGGGGTTTGTAATGAGATGAGCTGTGAGGTCCTTTCCAACCCAAACTTTTCAAGGATTCCATGATTCAATGAAAGCGACCAGCACTTTGAGCCCTGTTAGCACAGGCAACCCGAAAATGTCGTGCAGAGCAAGAGGAAAATTCCATGACTTTGACTTCTAACAAAAACAAAGACAGGAGCAAACTGGTTGCTTGAAACCAGGCAAAACTTGTATAAAACAGGCAAGGAGCAGAACAATTCATGCAGCACAGCAGTGACCTGGGGCTGGAACAAGGAAGTGTGTGCATGGAACTCTATCCCACAGTACCCAGGGCCAGGATGAAGTCCTGGAGATCTTTGTTGAACATTAACTTCCACACATGAGCTGGGAACTCAAGGAGCTGCAAGTACCCATCCCAGAGAAATCAAGTTCTCTAAGCAAAGAGGAACTGGGGGGACTTTGCAATTAAATTTTCCTGAATTTTGCCCCAGCAATCCCTTTCCAAAGGTGATACTGCAAGAAAAATATGAAATGTTGAGTGAGGAAAACCTTTGCAAACAGCATTTCAAGCTGATTTTTCAGTCTTCTGCAAGATGGGTTTTTCTTCTCTTGTTGCCTCCTTGGGTAACAAACCTCCATAATAATTCAGAAGCAGCACCATACATGATGTGATATAGGAGGGGTTTGCCTCAGTGTTTTCTCTTAAGTTTGACTCATCAGCTAATGACAGATATAAAGAAGTCTAAGAACTACTGTGCTTTTGAGAAAGGTTGTTTAAAATAGGGTACATGTATTTGGATGATGGCAAAACTTCATTTTACCATTGTAAATATGAATATGTCTTTAAAATCTCATAGGCACATGGTTATTTCAGAAATCATGTGTTTATGTTCCATTAAAACCAAATGCATGTTAAAACATAATCCAGTATTCTCTTGGCTTTTCTAATGATAGTGCAAATCATTATTATAGAATTATAGAATTATGGAAGGTGTGAGAAATTAATTTAGAGAAAACTCTTGAAGCCTGACAGAAAGCTCACTTAGTATACACATGTATGCAAACTTTGAGATAAAAAATGCTGACTCAGAAATACCATGGAATAAAACAAACATTGTTGTGCGAATTTTTTCCATTCAAATAAGAGGGGGAAATGTAAAAAATAAATTTATAAAAATTCTCAAAGCCTAACAAAAAACTCACATCGTATACATCTGTATACAAACTTTAAGATAAAAATACTAACTTAAAAATGCCATAAAATAAACAGACATTGTTGAGAGAAAAATTGAACTAGAAACAAGTTTCAAAAGATGGCCTTACAAATAAGACTAGATAATTTAAAAAAATAAAACTATGAAAGATGCATTGTAGGAAGACCCATGAAAAGTAATTTTAGATAATTAACTTCAAAGTATTTACAACATAGTGTAATTAAAACTAATAGACCAAGAAACACTTATATTCTAATTTAAAAATAGTTATCTTCTAATTGTGATAACATAATCTATCTAATTGTGATAACATAAATTATAACATCTATATTGTCTCAACCTTAACATGAGACTAAAAATAGAATAAAAGTTTTTAAAACACCTCTCAGTTGCCCCATCTCTGAGTCAGAAAAGAACATAATTCAACAGGAAGGGACCTTTATGATCATCCAGTTCCACCTCTGCCATGGGCAGGGACACCTTCCACTAGCCCAGGTTGCTCCATGTGGAACAGTCTGGTCTAATGGAAGGTGGAACATCCTTGGAACTGTTTAAAACCAGGTTGGATGAGGTTTAGAGGAACCCGGGGTAGTGGAAGGTGTCCCTGCCCATGGCAGGGAGTTCAGACTGGATGGTCTTTAAGTTCCCTTCCAGCCCAAACCATTCTGTGGTTCCATGTTTCCCCCCTTTGACATGATGCTGCTAAGGGCATGTGGAAGAGGTTTTACAGTGATTTCTGTGAGCCAGAGAGAAGTTTGATAAGAAGATCCGTGTTTACCCCTGAAAGAATTTTCTACAAAGGTTGTTGACATTGAAAGCAAGCAACAAAGAAGGATAAATAAGAGAAACCTGCAACTGCCTATTCCAATAAGCACTTTGTTTGTCACGTCACCAATGAGTAAAGTGTATACTTATGAGCTTTGTAAGAATGTATAAAAAGCATGCATGCTAAAATAAAAACTCTTTGAAGTCTTGTGAAAATGGTGTGTGTTGCTTTATATTGTCTCCGTCTCAACTATGACAAGGGTACAATGAGAATGGGAAAATGAGGGCCAAAGGTGCTTGAAAATTAAAATTTACTAGTGGACATCCTCTAATGGATACACTTGGCTCTCACACACGATATTCCCACACGTCACTTGTCATTAGAGTGGTTTGTGCCATTTCCCATGGGCTAAATGGATCCACAGGGCAGGTTTTACCTTTGTTTCTCCATCAGTCCTCACTGCGCTTGGCAACAGCTACAAACGTCTCCTATAAAAGAAATATCCTAAAATTTTTAGATGAGGAGAAATACAGCAGATCAGCTAATGAATCCTGGTGTGTGAGACATTGGCTGGTGTCACTGACAGGGCACAAGGGGAGGCCCCTGCATGTGGCAAGCACATTTCTCTCCCTCTCAGGATTTTTCATAGAGGTGCACAGAGAGAAATGAAAGATAAAACAATTTCTCTTTCTGCTCCTTGTTTTTCCCATGTGGAATGTGTTTGGAGAATAGTTTACCTGGGTGATTGCTTGATTGGATTCTGGTGAGGATTTTTGAGCCTGATGGCCAATCCAACCCACCTGGGGCTGGACTCTCGAGAGAGGGTCACAAGTTGTGTTAGAGACAGAGTCAGAGAAAGTAGTATGTAGTTTTAGTATCCTCCTTTTATATAGTATATTAATGTATTTTAGCATAGTTATAATAAGGAAATCCTTCAGCCTTCTGAACTGCGTCGGACATCATCATTTCTTCCCATTGGGTTCACCTGCATTTACAATACCTGTACATTTAAGGTTCAGGGATGGTTCTGTGCTGAGGTCTGGGAACCTGGTCAATTATTAGCTGCCCTTGGCTGCTTTGTTCTCAGCTGCTTGTGCCTTCCTGTTGCAATCCAGACACTGAGTCAACATTAAATAGAAATTTAAATGACAGCACTCAACACCAGCTGGGAGAATGTACTGTCCTCTGCACCTCTAAGCTAAAGAGAAATTCCTCTGTGGAGGGGAGGGTGAGAAGGAATAATAATGAGTGTTGGAGAGGAAGGAGGAAGGCAGGATCTCCTGTAGGTTGTGGAGAAAAGATTGGTACTTCTCTGGTCCTGATGAGGAGTTCCCTGATCTGTCACACAGCCCTAGTGCTGCTACTTTTCCTGAAAAATACTGAGACTTCTGTGTGGATGGTACCCTACAGAATAACATAGAAGCCTTAATATTTAAGAGTTATTGTACAATTGATGATGAGCTAAAACACCAGAAGTGTCTTCATTAGACAGTGAGCAGGGTATAAATACTTCCCTCTGTGCACCATTTAAATGTCTACTCCCATGGTGTATTGGGTAGGTTCTACTGCCTTTGGCACCACCATCAACAAAAATAGAATCATGGAACTTCACTGGTTCTTGTTAGATAGGAAGCTGCTAATGCTGCAGCCACAAGGATTTGATTAATATATATTTATATCTATAATCACTCAAATCAGCATGGCATTGACCTTCTCCTTGTTTTCATCTGAGCAGACAACTCCCTTGTCCCTGCTACATCCAAGATCACATTACAATTTATTGAGCTGCAGCTAATTCAGGTAGCAGAGTGTGAGCAGTGATCCAAGATGTGACCACTGAAAACTCATCATCTGCGATATTGAGTTATTAGAACAGCCCTGACAGTTTTGTTCTCTGCCAGCCCTCTGCCAAAAATTCCTGGCTGTCTCAATGATTAGTCCTGGCTAGGAACTATTCCAGCAGGCAGCCCGGTGTGGTCACCTTGGACTGGAAGCCAAAAATTGCACAATATGGGTATGGTCAAATGATGTCATCTCATAACGCAGAGAA